TTGTCATGCTCTCATCGAATAGCGCCTCTTCCGGAGCAAGCTCGTCCAGGTCGTCCTGTTCCTCCGTGGGTATCTCAAGTACTGCAGTATCTTCACCATCGTCCACAGTCATCTCGTCCGGTTTCGTATGCCTCTTCTTGACCGCCAATGGCGCGGCAACAATTTTGTCGATCTGACAGTCGCCCCAGTCGCCAACCTGTACCAAGCGATCTGCTTTTAGTCGCTTGCCTCTGACGACTCCTGTGACCACACAGTTCTCATTCTCCCACCGCACCTGCTCAGGTATCAACCAACTTCTGTCTTCCCGCCATCGTATGCTCTTCGGTGCCGTGGTGCATAGACTGCGCATCACATTGCTGCTCTCCTGCCTGCTGCTCAGATCATGCACCTTCTCCTGGGCATTGAAGAAGTGTGTGATGAAACTCTTCAGACTCTTCAACACATCTGGTCGTCTCTTCGCGGGCTCGATCTTGTTCAAGTTGTGTACGCCTGTAATCACGGTGCTCACACCTTGCGACTCAATGCACCGTAGCATCTGCTCACCCAACTCGTCCACATCTTGCTCGGCGCTGAGCACAAAGAGGACAAAATCTGCCACTCGACATGCATCTAGTATATCGAGCAGATCTCTTACAGGTGTGAGGTACTGCACTCGTTGCTTGAACCGAGGGATCTCTGCTCGCCAGACGCCTGTCTGTGGTGCTTCGTCCTCGACCTCAACACTTCGATTGAGTTCTAGAACGACGTCCCTGCTCTCCACGTCTGCACACAGCGGGATCACAGCAATCACCCTCGGGGCTCCTTCCCTGCCTGCAAAGACACTGCCTTCCTCTTGTAGCTTCGCAGAGTGAGTTACTCGCTTCTGTTTCGCCTGATTACGCCGATCCAGTTTGGTCATGATGACTTGATTCTGCGTCTTCCTTGAGCCACGTTCGAAGTCATCGATTTTGCCTTTTGATCTTTCTTTTAGTGCAGACTTGGTAGAGTGTCGAGTCTTGAAGGGCTTATTCGAGGCTTTCGTGGTGGAGCGGTGGTGGTGATCTGACACCGCTGGCGCACCCATATTGCCTACACCGCCTGCTTTGAAGCGGAAAGGTATTGTAGAAGCCAGGATGGAATCTTTCGCTGGTGATTCGCAGTGCACTCCTTCGATCGCGCACTCTCCAAATATTTTGGAGTTCAGCCGATAAGCGCGAGGTCGGCACTTCGAAAGTCCGACGTCACCTGTTCCCAAAAGAGTAATCCGGCCTTCGGCTGTGCGAAATTTGCGCTCGTTCCGCACGAAGATCCAAAATCGACGCCAACGGTATGAGTACTTCGAACACTCCACTGGACGCAAAAGATGACCCTACATCCCCTACAGGGGCCAAAACATCACGTGAACAGAGTGGGATTCGAACCCACGCCCTTTCAGACTAGCGAATTCTACCTGGCAGGCTGAGCCTTGCCTAGTCTTCCTGAAGCTAGCGCCTTAACCGCTCGGCCATCTGTCCTGGAAGTTGATTCTTCAGTCTGAACACTATAACTCTCAATTTGAATCCCTCACATCGGTCTGAGAACACCGACCGTCCACCCGGTCACGACGGCGGGGATTCTCTCCGCAGCCATGGTTCAATAGGGCCTGCGGACCAATCATACCGTCTGCAGCTTTGCCGAATTCATATGTCGTGCCCCTGTACCATCTGCTTCGTAGGACGCAGCTCAGAAGCAAATCTCTGGTGGTACACACTGCCTTGTGCGGGTACGGCACCTGTGGGTGGGAACTCGGCAGAGTCCGCGGATTTCATGCTGAGCAGTCGGGTTCAGTGCTGCTTGATGATGCTCTGCAAGCCCGCGACAGTGTTGACGATTTGACCGACAGTGCCAGGCAGATTCCCTTCCGTATCGTAGCGTAGGGCGTCCTGTCATCAAACATGAGGTCGCGTGGGTGGCCGTCGTACGCCGCCGTGATACTGATTCCTCTTGCGGAGTGTTACTGAGAATGAACTATCGCTCGTGTTGCCCCGCGAGAAGCGGTCACAGTTGGTCTGTCGATTCCTGATAGAGCCATGCAGAATACCATGCTGGACAGGAGTACAGGATAACGAGGGATCGAAACAGCTGACAGGTATAGATAAAGAACGAAGTACGGAGAATTTATAGTGGACAAGCGAGACTGTACTCATACTACTGCTTGTTGGATGAAAGCGCCCATGTACCATGCGCCCGTGGCATCAACATACAAAGCTCAACAGTCATGCCGAAGGAGAGTGTTGCCGATGATGGAACCCTCCCAACAGCTGTGCAGCGTAGGCATTGGCAGCGCGATGGTACTGAGTGCAAAAGTTTGAGCGGTCTCTGAACAGCGCCACCAGCGTTGTAGGATCGTGATCGAACGTCTAACTGTGATTGTCTGTGTGCCGGAAAGCTGAATTGTCGAACTGGAGGATTGGAAGATTCGAGGTTTGCCGATGTCGCCACTGCATGAAGTCATCCAATGGACGTCACTTTGACATTCCATTTCACGTCTCATTCGCACATCACTTGGACTGTACTGCATCACTATAGACCAACGACACCTCCTACACTCAATACTGCTCTGATATCCGGCACAGCCATGCAGTCCATCACGCGCGCCACCCGCCACATTCGCCCCGCCTTCCTCCGCAGACCATTCTCATCGATACCCAGCAGACAGACATCCTGGACGCCCTCCCCATCGCCACCAAAGCTCGACAAAGAAGAACAAGCCCGCTTTGAAAAGCTCCAAGAGCAATCCACCGGCGCCTTCTCGACGCCTCGCGCGGAAGCTCAAGACACACCACCAGATGCCGAGGCCAGCCCTGCCACCACCACTGCATCCTCGCCGAGCACGGCCGACATGCTGGAGCAGCTCCGCGAGCGCGCACGAGTTGCCGCGCAAGGAGATGGCGAGGAGTTGCACCCGAACATTCGACGGGGAGCGAAGCCGGAGTTTGAGGGGGAGGTCAATCCTAAGACTGGCGAGGTTGGGGGGCCGAAGAATGAGCCATTGAGGTGGGGGAGTACCGATAGGAGCGGGGATTGGAGTTATAATGGGAGGGTGACGGATTTCTGAGTATGAGGTTGAAGAGGCGGGTGTCGGCATTGTATGAAATTGTTGAAGATCCACTGCATCAGAGCGACATCGATAAGGTGACCTGGAACGGCGTCGCAAGACGTAGGGCATCTCTTATCTCAGCTGCCTGCGCACTCAAGGTGTAGGCTGGAGTCCACGAAGGAACAAAATATTTGTTTAAGTCTTGCCTGCCTTCAGCCTCTTAATCTCCTCCCTGACCCTCTCACTCTCCCTCCCAATCTCCCCCAACTCCCTCGCAACTCCCTCCAACTTCCCTTTCCGATACGCACCCAACTTCTCCTCCATCTCCTCACTCTGCCGCCTCAGCCTCCTCTCTTCACTCACCAAACTCTCGACCTTAGCCTTCAAGGTTACCTGCGTCTTGCTATCGTACACAGGCGCCAGAATTTGGGCGTGCTGCACAGTAAGCTTCCTGGACATGCCTTCGGCTACGAGCGCGAGGTACTCCGCTTGTGCTTTCGTTGCACGTGGGACTGCGCCATGGGTGGTTTGTTCGAGGAGTCGGATGGAGGTTGTGAGGATTTGGTCGTTGAGGGTGTGGAGATCCGAGGCTTGGTAGGCGAGAATCTGCCGCGATTGGGCGATTTGGGAGTTAGAAGTGGCGAGGGAGGACTTCAAGCTTTCGATATGGGCGCTTGTGTCTGCTGGAGGGTGGTCTGGGGCCACGACTTTGGCGAGAGAGTCGGCGTTGTCAATTATATTGCGCTGAATGATGGAGACCGTTGGAGAAGGGTTCGCCTGCTGCGTGTTAACTGCCGTACTGTTGTAGACTATCCCGATTTGCCTCACCTTAAATTGCTCGACGTACTCCTCAGCCAAGTCTTGATCCTCCGCCGGTACTTGACCCTCAAGCTGTGCGCTCAACACGGCGACGAGCTCGAGCAGCTACTGCTCGTGTCAGTACCGGTACGCCTTTCGATTCATCGGGGATAAGTTAGCATATACGAACCTCCTCGGGCAGCTCATTGATCCCTAGCGCCACCTTTCTCAGTTCCGATTTGACGATAGCGCGTTTCGCGGCCTCTATCCTCGCACTTCGTAAGTCCTGTCAAGCTATCAGTGGACTACCATTCGCGTCGCGTGTGCAATTCATGCCTCACCTGATCGAATGCATCTCGCTCCTTACGCGTCTTCTCGTCAACCACAGAAGATCCATCGGCATTCAATCGATTGGTACAGAGATCTCGGTAGAGCACTTCAAACCTGGGATTGGCTGCGAGAAAGCTTTGCGAGATTGGAGGAAGCATCATTGTTGCTTGATTGGCAAGTCTTGTCTTTAGAAAGTCCTTCACATTGTCTGATCTGTTATCGAGCTGCCAATGCGATCCGAGAGGCGAATGTTGATCGTTCCGACATGAAGAGCACTCGAATAGACGAGCAGTGCGGCTAGACTTTGGAGAGTCGCTGAGATCAATGTTCAATGTGCAATGATGAAGAAATGATGCTGCAAAGACCTTAGATTTGAACTCCGTTAACGCACGCGCGAGAGCACAACCTCAACAGGTAGGTTTTGCACTTTCTATCAAAACCTTCTATGGACGCCACTCAATCTTCAAAATACGCCACCACACTACGCGATCTTCATCCTGACGACCGGATCCCGCAACACCCCCACCGCCTCCGCCATGTCCAGCGCTCTCGATCCGACAGCCTCAACAATAGGCACCACACTCCTCACGATCGGCAAGCCCAGCACACCTTCCAGCAGCCGTATGCCAACAAGTACCACAAGCAACACAATCCTCAAGACATAGTCCTTCCACTCCAGTTCCGGCCGATGTCCCCTAGCGTACGTGCTATCCACAAACTCAAACGGCAGCTTCGCGCCGAGATGTTCGATCGCAACTTTGAGCCCGCTACTGAACCCATCTTCATGGAATCCATACTTCGTCCACGCCCCCGCGTAGCTGACGCCACGCACATTCTGCACCTGATCAAGCCGTTTCTGCGCCTGCACAGCCTCGATAGTGTACAGCGGGTGCCGATAGATGAATTTGCCCTGTGTCTTCGCTGGGTCGGGCGCGTGAGGCGGATTCATGGTCACTAGCACAGGACCGTGTCGAGATTCGGGGAGGTGTTGCAGGAAATTCATGTTGTACGTTAGACTCACGCCTGCTGGGGAGGAGAGTTTGGAAGGGAGAGACTGGATGAGGTAGTTCCAGGCTGTCCAGGTAGCGCGGCGACGCGGCATAAGTGAGAGGTCTGAGTGGAGATAGCAGATGTTCTGGGAGGTCTCGAAGGTGCTGAAAATTTCCGATTCGAGCTCAGAGACATATTGGATCCCCAGAGCTTGTTTGGCGAGACTGCCTTGCCGGGCCTGAGCACCTCGAGAGCCGTGCTTGGCGATCAAGGGAAGGATCTGGTCGCCATGACAAGCCAGGATGGCGTGGTTAAAGATATCGCCTTCAATCCGACCGGAAGCAGCGTCAATCCAGGAGATAGTAACTCCCGCATCTTCATGCCGCGTCGGCCGGAGGATGTTCACAACTTCGCTTGAGGTGTGTATATGCAATCTATCAGGTGGGTACTGCTTG